ACGAAATAATTTCTTCACCGCAATCTATTGTCAATGCAATCGCAATACATTTCAGAAATGCATATAATATTGATATTGATGACATTACCTCAACTGAAGATGAAATCAATAAAGAACGCTCAAATCCTAGTCAATTTCTAATTCTTGATATTTATAAATATCAAGGAAATAACTCAAGAGCAAATAAGAACAGCTGCAGAAAAACTCAAGAATAAATTAACGTGTGGACCAGATGGAATTCCTGCTGAAATTGTTGAAAATTTCATCAATTTGTTATCTAGACCTTTGGGCATTATATTTATTTTGATTCTGAAAACATGTATTTTTCCTACAATTTGGAAGTTATCACGTGTGTGTCCAGTATTCAAATCAGGAAAGAATTCGGATATTGATAACTATAGACCGATTACACTAATCTCTGTATTCTCCAAATTACTAGAAATAATTATATTCCAGTCAATTTACAATCACGTTCGAACTTCTCTATCTGAATTTCAACATGGTTTTGTGAAATCTCGTAGCATGGCAACAAACTTATGTACTTTCACCTAATATGTGTCTAATGCTCGACTGCAAAAATCTAGTAGATGTAATTTATACAGACTTCAGCAAAACATTTGACCGTGTATCACATCAACAATTATTGAGAAAATTGTCTAACTTCGGTATATCCTGTAATATTGAGTTACTACTAAAATCTTTCTTATCAAATAGAAACTTATTCGTAGAATATAATGGGTCAAATCATTCACTTCCAAGTCAACTCCTGGAGTACCACAGGGTTCCAATTTAGGGCCCTTACTGTTCTTACTTTTAATTAATGATATATGTGATCGTATACAGTCTGCTTAACTACTATTTGCTGATGATGTGAAAATTTACAGAGAAATTAGAACTATTGATGACTGTCAACTATCACAACTGGATCTTGATCTAGTCAATGATTGATGCCTCAAGAATAAACTCTCTTTGAATACCAATAAATGTAAAGTCATGATTTTCACACGAAAATCCACCCCAATTTCATTCAATTATCACTTGGATATTTCACAACTAGCACGAGTTCAACAATTCAAAGATTTAGGAGTTCTTTTTGATCAAAAGTTGATTTTCTCCACTCATATAGAAAGTCTTTGGGATTTTTCATCCGTACCTGTAAGGAATTCAAATCAATAAAGAACTCTCAAATCCTAGTCAATTTATAAATATCAATCTACTTCTCATTGATGAGGAGTAAATTAGATTGCTGCAGTGTCGTATGGAATCCATGTCATTCCAAATATATTGAACCCATTGAATCAGTGCAAAGGAAGTTTTTGAAATATGCATACTATAAAAAATATGGCTTGTATCCTCAAAGACACTATAGCTACGACCTATAGCTAAAAAGGAAGTTTTTGAATTATGCATACTATAAAAAATATGGCGTGTATCCTCAAAGACACTATAACAATGACCTATTGCTAAACGAATTCGATTTATTTTCTCTTGAAAAACATCGCGAAATATTCGATTCAACTTTTATGCATAAAATAATCCATAACAATATCGATTCATCCTCATTACTATCTCTGATTGATTTCAATGTACCACGAAATGTGTCAAGATCAGATATAACGTTCCGCATTGCTGTGCCTAACACACAACATCACTACTATTGTCCCCTCACAACAGTGTGCCGAATAATTTGTATCTTTTCTCGGGTTAAAAGATTGGATAGAACTTTGCGAATAAAAATAATAATCGGCTTGTCTCAGTCTACTTACCGCTAGCAATAAATTATCAGCGCCTAATAAACTGGCCGAAATAGTTGGGGGGAAGTGCCTTGCAATAATTGAAACAAGTTGATGTTCGGTATAGGGAGGATTTAAGTGACGTGATAGAAATATTTTCGAATTGACATAATCAACCAGAGATCCTGAACCTTCTTGGAATTTCCCCGATTCCGATCTCAATTTAACCCCCAGTTGCAAAGTGTCACCCCAAAATTGTTCTAAAAAATAACATTTGAAATCAGCATACGAATTGAACATGTAGCTATAAACATCAAACTAGGTTTTGGCAGTTTTCACAAACAAATCACCAATAAGAAATCTCAACTGATCAAAGGGTACGTTATTAGTGTCGAAGCCTCGATGTTATTCAAGAAATCAACAGGGTGTAACCCTTCGTTATCAAAGGTGGGTAACACTCGTACATCTCTCAAATCAGATACATTATTAAAAATTCTATTACTACTTGAAATATTTTGCGCAAGTGAAGGTGGATGGTTATGTATAATATTAGGATTACTATTCGATATACTAAACTGTCCATAATTAAGTGGATATTGCATATTTTGAACTGAATTATTAGGAAGGTTCACGTTTGAATTATTGTTATGAGACAACTTACTATTATAGTTACGATTCATATATCTATTATCTGAAAACTGAAAATTTGGAACATGTTCAAAATTATTGCTGCACAAGAAAGTATTTTCCGGAAAAATTTGAGAATAATTTGGAGGTACCGAAATTGTGGCAGGCAGTGTATATCCACTTGGAATTGGAAACGCCCAAACTTATTTCTGTTGGGTTCGTTATCTGCCTGGTTTTTATCACAATCAGGATAAAAAGTGGGCCTACCATTTGACTGCAAATTAGGAATACAATTTGTGTTTACATGGCTAGGAAAATGATTATCAACACTGTCTTTATAAATGAAATTATCCTGATACGTATCCAAACCTGGATTTTGAAACGAAGACCTTGCACCATTCCTACTGATGCATTCTGCCGAGCTATCCGATGACACCTCTGTGACGGTGGCTGCGGCTGCAGATCCGGCGTCGGGTGATGGCGTCGTTGCTGTTGGCGTCGCGACGCTGCCGGTGATGTTCGCCGTGGTCGCGTTGTCTTCGGGACGCTGCTCAGAAGGTGGGAGGTTCTCACCTGCTGGCCGCATACCGTATGTTTCCGCTCGCCGGTCGTTGCGTGCTCGGAAAAAATAGCCAGTTGGTCCCACAGGAGACTTCTCCAGAACCATTCTTCAATCAGCTTCTCGATGATCGCCAAGTTGTAACAGTCTCGGGGGTTTGGTGGGTTTGCTGATAGAAACGCTGATGGTTCAGGAGACTATGTATTCACTTCTTAAGTTAACCAAATCACGTGGTTGAGCGAAACGTCGAAAACCTAAATATGAAATGCAGGCACAGGCCAAGATGTTCCAAAGGAACATTGGGCACATACAAAACCAAAAACACCAAATTTGGGTTCGATCGACGTGGATGTTAAATTCTTCACTTGATTGAGAAAACTGCCCGTTCAAGAGTCAAATGACCAGCGCAAGACATTTCGGAAATCCCCTCCTAACCATAACCGACCTAGGTGCGCGCACGGATTTTGAATCTGTATTAATGAAAGATGGGTTGCTTAGCCTCCTGAAGAAAATTTGATTATAATTAAAAGAGCATGGGCGGCGACATTGATTTGTTACATGTCCACTCGCGAGAGCGACTTTGTGGAAGTTTTTTGTGAAAAGGGATGTAATTGTACTTACAGTTTTGTTGTTCATAAAACTATTTATGAAAATGGATATATGTTAACATACTTCCATCCTATGTTCCGGTGAATACTCACATAAGTAGTAGAGAAGAGAGATTTGAGTGAACATATATCCGACCACATATATTTCAGCCCAGTACACATCGCATGATAGAATTATACTTATTTCCCTTTTCACTATTTCCGCAATGACAGGATTGACCAATGAATTACAGTGATGTGAGGACGTATTTTGTATACCGAAAAAATATTTTGTATTGTTGATATTCGGAATTGAGACTATGTATTTCGAGCGGATTCAATTACTGAGAGATTTTGTTGATGATGCAAGTGCAATAGGAGAGATCAGGCTACCATTTGTTTTATCAAAATATAATGACAAAGGATGATATTCCAAATACCATTTCATCTAGTGATGAAGACTCTGAATGATTAAATCTCCATTGATTTTTCATTCAGATTCTCCTATAAGGCAATATACCTCTTATTCATATTTGAAGCTGTTTTTGTATTCTCATAACTAATAAAGTTTACTTTCGTATTTGATATATTTTTTCAATCTTTCGACTTTACGTGAGGAAAACCTATAATGTTAATGGAACCTCGTGTGAGACAGCAGAATTTTTTTTTTATTTTTTATTGAATGTCTGGTGGTTGTGGTGGTTGAAATCTGATAACAATCTTGCATATCTATGAAAGAAAAAAAAATACTGGCACACGAGAGTTCAGCATATCTCGAGCCTGATAATTTCATACACTACTCAAATGGGGATAAGGGGTATATGTTAGTTTTTTCACTGTAATTCACGCGGAAATGGATACAAGTCGAATATTTTTCTGCTAAAACTGCTGATGGTTCCTTGAAACAGATCATCGAGGTCGTAAACAAACATATCATCATATCGTGAAAGGTTTTCATGCGAATATATATGGAGAAAATGCGAGCATGTTAACCTTCAATCTCGATTTCCCAAAACTACAGATTTTGGACATATACCCCTTTTCCTACGCAGGTGCCAAATAAATGGGGTACACAATAACCCCATTCCAAAATACATGGCTTGAATCGAAAACAAAATATATCATGGAAACTGTAGCTGAAACATGTTTCCTTGTTCCAATTGAAAAAAAAAACGGGTATAGCTTCAACCTCCGGTCAGTCTTATGAAGATTGAAGCAGACTTTTGAATTTTTCACATTTTCTGATTCTATTGATCAAGTAAGATATATCAGCTGTAGCATTTTCAAGATGGAATATCACAATTTCTATCAATTTCAAAATGTGTTATGACCTATTTTGACGTGATTGAAATTGTTGAATAAAAGTATTCAAGTGAAATGACATCATTTTATTCCAAACATGGTATTTTGAGTCACGCAAAAATTTTAGAAGTAGACCTGTTCATGTTGCCATCCGATAATCTTTTATTATTGTAATTATATTCTTTTTTCCAGATTAAGACATCCTACTAGTTTCGATGTGGACAAACAAGAGTTCTTGTGCCCGCTGTGTGAATGCCTAAGCAATACAGTTCTGCCTCTACTTCCAGCAATTCACACCTTACAACCCACCCTTCCCAAAAACAGCATAACCTTCAAAGAATGGCTCAAATGCATATCTGATGTCGTCAAAAATAAAGAGAAGATTTGTCACGGAATCTTTAAATGCGATTCGTCGGAAGACTGCAAAAATAAGCACTGCAGCGGTTGCATATACGCCTCAAAAAGCACTAATATAGAGCATCACGTCAATATGGAGTGCGAGGTTAACTGCATGTTGCAGCCCCATCAAGTTTTCTACTCATACGAGCTAGCTCAAGATCTACCCGATAATTTTAAGCAACTATTCCCTACGAACCATCCTGTTTTAGATGAGAATTACAAAGATATGATACAACTTTTTGCTCAAGTCACATACAAACGAGGGCTGAACGTGAATCCACATCCAACAGATAAACGACTTGGCCCGATGTCTTGGAAATCGCTAGCTTACACCATTCATTCAATCGAAGTCCTGCTTCGTGACATGAACAAACCTCTTCTTGGAAACCTGTCGAGCAGGCAACGAGACTGCATTGAAAGCCTCGTAAGGATAGTGGGAACGCTGGGCAGCACTTGGCAACGCAGCGTCTTCATAAACAGTCATGCCATGAAATTGCTGTCGATAGTGTTCGAGCACGGCAATGAGGGTCCTTCGATTCTCCAATGGGACTCCTTGGGGATGTTAGTGAGTCTCACGTTCTCATTACCTAGTCTTTCGTGTAAATACGCTCCCATGCCGATACCGACAGGTGGTACCTTAGATTTCCACCTGATGAGGGTCATATTCACCTGTCATATTGTTAAAATACTCATTTTAATGAAACCCACCGACTTGGGTAGCTCAATGGAAACGGACATAAAGGAAGACAACTCGATGATCGACCTCTTGAAGCTGATAGGTAAGAATCATGACGGCATTAGTAGTCATGCAATATGGGAGCACGTCCAGTATGCTTGCCAACCGTTTTTGAGGAGTTGTGTACTGTTTTATCATTACCTGACTGAAGTGGCGGCACCAGCCGTTTTGACTGAGATTGGGGGAGATACATTCAGCAACATGTGTGCCTATTTAGATCTGCCACAAAATCCTAAAGAACTATTTGACTCAAAAGAGGTAATGGCGCTAATCAACAAATGGGTCAAACATGAAGAAGTTGTCAGTTATGTCAATGGTGCCGACTTGCAGGTTATCCATGAACCTGTATCTATCCCGCGTCTCATCGACTTACCAGATGACTATAGCGAATTGATTAACACCGTATCCACGTTCACTTGCCCGAATAGCGAAGAAGACTCGAAGAACCCGTGCATGTGTTTGGTTTGCGGAGAAATATTGTGCTCGCAAAGTTATTGTTGTCAAACCGAAGTGGATAAAGTCCAAGTCGGAGCTTGCAACTATCATGCCAGCAAATGCGGTGCTGGAATAGGAATTTTCCTGAGAGTGAGAGAGTGTGAAATATTGTTCTTGGCTGCCCCTCACAGGGGTTGTTCTGTTTTGCCCCCATATTTGGACGATTATGGGGAAACAGATCAAGGGCTTAGAAGGGGCAATCCATTGAGACTGTGTCCTGACAGGTACAAAAAGTTGCAGACTTTGTGGCTCGGCCACGGTGTACATGAAGAAATTGCTCGTTCAATAGAAACTAGCAGTCATATAGTTGCTACACATTGGAACCTATTGTAGGTTGTTAATGGAATTGTGATTTTTTTCTCTAACCCTAATGTTTATATAAATTATTGATAATAACCCTATGGTTAGTTTAATGCGTCTGTGAGATGAGATTTTTGAAATTGCAGTGCTAACTTTTTTGTCCATATTTAGATTGTTAGGTACTTAAATTCACTTATTATGCCCGGTTATTAAATGCACCAGAAAATATTTATTTGGAAGACATGATGAAAATGTATTATATGAATATTATTAAAATTTGAAGCAAAAGTTACATCATTTTTCCTAAATCTTTTTTTCTTGTGTTGAAACGAACATTTCAATTCTAATTGTCGTCTGAAATGTGTTGGGCATTTTCCATGCGTTTTCGGTGTATTTCAGTTATTTTAACTAATATTAAGGTCACCGCCTCCAGACATATCCTGTTCAATGAAACATACATCAGTTAAAAACGATAAGTATTTGTGATTGCCATAAATTCTTGCCAAAAATATTATTAATTTGTATTGGAACAAGCTCATTTATCTGTTTGGAATTACATTTTGTATTCTTTGAAAATCAGTAAAAAATAAACAAAAGAGCATCTACAAGCAACAAGAAAACCGATGTTTGTAAATATTACTATTGATTTAATGTCCCAAAGATTTCGAATAAATTATTAAAATGACTACCATATGTATTGGAATAGTGAAGATGAGGAAGATGGACAATCCACCTAAGCGTCCTGAAACTCGCACAGACCTGAAAAAATTGAATGTGGTGCATCAAATTTGATTGAAAAGATTCAACATTTTCAATATGCCATTACCATATACTGAGAAGTGCACAATAAACGGTCAGTGCTGTAACTTCTGAATCATTCGAGATCGGATTTTGAAAATTGGTGGGTGGCAAGTATACCAAATTGCTCATTAATTGACAAAAAAATTCTGTTCGAAACTTTCGGGTCACTGGGGTCGTTTCCGGTGAAACCGGAAGTGATAGAAAAGAAGTGTTCTGTAATGAGCAATTTGGTATACTTACTACCCACCAATTTCCAAAATCCGATCTTGCATGATTCAGAAGTTACTGCACTGACCGTTTATGTGCACTTCTCTGTATATGGGAATGGCATATTGAAAATGTTGAATCTTTTCAATCAAATTTGATGCACCACATTCAATTTTTTCAGGTCTGTGCGAGTTTCAGGACGCTTAGGTGGATTGTCCATCTTCCTCATCTTCACTATTCCAATACATATGGGAGTCATTTTAATAATTTCTTCGAAATCTTTTTATATTATATTATCTTTATTATTCCCAAGAAACATATATGTTTATAGCAGGGAAAATTATGAAAGAGCACCTAAAAAACAAAAATTAGATAATCAGATAATCATTTTTAAATCATATACATAATACATATAATGTTGTTTCTTCTAGAGACTGTTGAATATAATTTCTTGAATTGATTCAGAATGATATGAAGAGAATCAAAGACATAAGTATTTTTTCAGTTCTTTTTTGAATTTCTCAACACTTAATTTTTTCTTTAGTCTGGCAGGTAATTCATTATAGAGAATTGTTCCATTGTATAAAATAGATCTTTTACCCATATCTGATTTAATTTTGAGTTTGGTTTTTTGATCCTCCGGTGGTAGACAGCGCAAAGGCGCTGAGTTCGTATGGAAACTCTCACCCACACATTTTTGTAGACCATGAAATGTATAAAACAAGTCACAAGTTACAATTACATTTCATATATATAGGTACACATACAGTGTGTGCGATTTCAACCCGCAACACCCTCCTAATTTGGAACCCGTCGACCGATTTTTAAAAACAAAAATTCCATAATATAGCACTCAACGAGCTCTATTCGAAAATGTGGACGAATTTAAAATATTCAGATTTTCAAAGCCTACTTTTTTTGTTGAAAGGGTCAAAATTTCAAAAACTACTATTAGGCAATTTTTTTCGAAGCAGTGACTTTCCTATTCGATTCAAGCAAAGCTGAAATACCTCCATACGGAATTTGAATGCAAAATCTCATATAGGGTGTTAGTTATTCAATGTCAAATTTTAATACTTTTGATTTTTCGATTCACCCTGTATCAAAATCCAAGGAGTTGATATAAGCGGTGAAGTAGTTATTCAATAGAGGAACACATCAAATACATAGGTACGAAGTTTCATCGCTGTAGCTTCTACAGTTTTATTATGTTCCATAACTTTTTTCTAGGAAATATAGATAATGGTGACTGATCCGGGGAATTATTCTCTATACATAAAAATGTTCATTGTCATCTCAAACTTTCATTTCACCAAAATCGGTATATTATTATGATCACATCAAACATCAGTATACAGTCTGTCCAAGATAAGGTTGAACAGCATGGGGATCTCGAAAACGGTAAGAGATACGAAGTCGGTTAAATGGGGAAAAAGTTGCGGAGGCTCATATCAAGAGCCTTCGAAAATTTTCAAAATTATTTTTAGTTTTTGAGTTATATCGAAAAAAGTGAATTTTTGGAATATCTGTTTTATTTTTTTTTCACCGTTATGATTAGACATACAGCAAAACTGACAATACTTTTTCATAGCAACTTTTGATGACGGTCAACGTGGTGATACCGATTTTTTTATGCGACGTTTCGTATTCGTGGAACCATCATCAACTTTTGTTTTTTAAATACGGTCCTGATAATTTTTTCACAGATTCTGAAAGTTTTTTCATTCTGAATTCAACTATGTATTATACAAAGTGATTTGTGTGTGTTTCGACCTATTTTCAGCCATCATCAATGTTTTTTCGAAATTCCACAGAAAAATGCCATCAGGAAATGTTAAAATTTTGCAGATATCCCTAGAACAATCATCTGGACCGATGAAAGCATGGTCACTAATCATGGTAGCTTCGATAGAAAAAATACACATTATTGTTCACGAGAAAATAAACATTTATACATTACAGCGAGACACCAACACCGTTTCGGCTTTAATATGTGGGTTGCAATATTTGGTACACGAATTATTGGTCCTTCTATTTACCATGAAACACAGACTTCCGAACGTTATAGAAATTCGCTTGAGAATCATCTTGAGGAAGCTCTGGATGATTTACCGATTGCGGAAGTTCAGAACTGTTTGTTTCAACAAGATGGCGCTCCGGTACATAATTCCAGAGAAGTCCGTGCGTTTTTATCCCTTGGCCGGCGCGGTCGCCTGATTTGACACAGCTGGATTTTTTCTTATGGGATATATCGAACTTTGTACACGCAAATAACTTTGATGATGAATAAGAACTAAGGAACAGTGTCTTCGAAGCATTCTATAGAATAACCCCAGAAATGCTTAGCAATGTCTTAGAAAGCAACTGTGAGAAGAGCATATCTTTGTTCAGAAAATAATGGTTATCATTTTGAACATTTGTTATGAATGTCTCTGTAGGTATTGTCAAAGTTAAGTTGTTAAAGTAATTCGATACTAGTAATTTGATGGATGGACTTGACGTTCATGAAGTATTTTCAGATGGAGAATAGATTCATGGGGCAAGATTTCAAACACCTGCGTTCATTTTATTATGGTTACTTTATGTCTTGTTTTTCATCTATTTCTCCATTGTTAATGTTAATAGTTTCATTTCGATTGATCTTGTAGTTGAGCCAAGAAAAATATAATTGTATTCAGAAGACAAAAACGAAAATCCTATCATGGATTCTAGGCGTCATTTTGTTATTTCCTCAATCATACTTTTTCCCCATTCAACCAATTACATATCCCTCATCATTTTTCTCATAATTTAAAAAAAAAACAACAAACCTCTAATAATCTATTCATACCATTTAGATTTCTTTACAGTAGGTACGTTCACAAGCTTATTTTTATACTCATTGACTAATTTTGAGAAACTATCACTTTCACTAATTTTATTCATTTTCTGCTTAGGCTGCTTTATAAACTCCCTTTTCCTCTCTGCTAAAGTCTTTTTGGCGTTTTTGGCTATCTTCTTCTCTTTCTTCAGGTTTTCATGATGCAATTTTGCCTGAGTAGTCAGTTTGTACCTGCTTCTCATTTTTTGTTGTATTCCAGCTTTGGCAGTTATTCCAGAGAACTGTGAAACATTTTCGTCATCCCTTGGTGGTGCGTCTTTCAGAGGTTTTTGTTTCCTACTAATCTTCTTTGGCCTGTCTTCTTTTTTCTCATATTTACTGCTTCCCTTGAAATTCTTATTAGTTGGATTATATAATCTAGATTTTTCTAAACGTTTCTGCCTTGCTGTAACCATAGTTTTGTTTTCAATACTAAAAGTAATGATGGGCCTTCTGTGTGCTCCAAATATATCAGGGTTATTGTTCAAACTTCTCAATGCTGTCAAAGCATTCTCATGTTTTGTAAATGAGACGAACCCATACTCTTTTGATTTCCCAACTCCCTTGGGATCTAAGTTCTTCATATCCCTCATAATTCTAGCTTCTCTAATGACTGCCCCAGGACCACTATATTTCTGCAATAATATACGTAGCTTTTTATCATCCCAGCTGGGAGGAATGTTGTGGACAACCAAACGTTCTCTGGATACAAACATGTTCAAATTTCGTAACATTTGGGTCTTATATTGTTCAATTTGCAGTCTTTTGGCCATATCAGTTGCTGTTATACCCTCAGCAGCTTTAGTGCCAGCCAATATAACTGAAAAAATGGATTAACGGATTAATATTAAAAAATAATAAATGCATTAGTGAATTGCCAATATCAAATTGTGAGGCTCTGGCATTTTCACTCTGGTCGCTAAATAGATATTTTACCAACTGAACCACTGAATCACACAACGTTCATCAAAAATAATTGCTATCGATGTAAGTACTGGCATTTGGGTATGACACTGAAAAGTAGATAATACAATTCCCCAAAAAATTAACGCATGACAAAAAAGTATCCAAAAGTTGGAGATACATTTTCGTCGAAACTACTTGTCTGATTTGGACGATTTTTGTTTTGAATGATAGTTCTGAATAATGTCGTGCAAACTGTATTCGCATAAAAACCTCTTATACCCAGTGGATTGTAACAGTTACGTTATCAAGTGGAAATTGAAAAAAACACTTGAGCGTCTCCTCTTCTCAACATTCTTTTTTTGTTTTTTTCTAATTTACCCGGCCGTTACTTGATGGAAATCCATAGCAAATGTAAAAACTTCATAAACGATGATATTTCCATAACATTCTCAATCACAGGACATGTTTCGCTAACACAGTAGCTCATTATACTGGTGAAATACTGGTACAATGAAATAAACCAGTGACGGCTCGTCAGGGACGGCAGGGTCGGCCGGGCCGTACCAAATAATTTGGGGAAAATTACTGAACTATTTGATGAATAAAATTATTTTCCGAAACTGTTTTCATAATTCATCGCTCATTATCCTACTGTTATGCCACTATTATTTGAATTTCATTCATGGAACCTTTGAGTATGCCATCCGCATATACACCGAAAATCACGAACTAATTCAGGACCTACGACATCTGGTAATCCCATCGTCAAAACGCCGCTTTCAGTTGAACCGCTCGCGTAGCTCATTACACTGATGCAGACGGCCGGCCGATCGGTGATTTCTTGTCTCGACGCATCGCCACAGGCATCGCCTACAGATTCCCCGCTTCAAGTTTGAATTTTCGCTTATACGCGTCATACCTTGGGTGCGGCCAAGCTCTGCTGGCCGTCCAACGTATCGATCGTACTATTCGTACTTATCAGTATCAGTTGTTTGCAGTGCGCTCGCTGTGCACCGTATCGAACCATTCCGACCTAATTTTTAATATACGGATTGGCATGATTGACATTCTATTTTCATTTTACATTGTAGGTATTTATAATTTTAATTCCTATACTTATTTGTAAGTTGATGTTGGAATTTGAAATGTACAAACTGAAAAGAAAAATAATTTGCATGTTTTTGTTTACGCTTGCAGTACTTGCAGTAAAAATGACTGGTGATTTTTGAATTTGCAATTTTTCAGTAATTCATAATTCAACATATCCATCTAATATTGGTATCAGAATTTTCCTTCAGTGCTTCTGAGCGTCAATAAGTTATAATTCAATTTGAATATTGCTGTAATGTAACCTACTGTGCCTCTGCCTATGTAGGTAATATGGCAAGAAAAATGTCAGCAGTCCAAGAGCTGAGTAGGTATTGACACATCGTAAAAAAGCTCTGGTGACGAAAATGTAATAAATGTATGACTTCCAGAATATCATTTATTTTCAAAGACGCATGTAGCGGTTATAAACTACCTAAATAATATTTATGCATCCATCGCATCGCGGGAAACATTATTCCTACGGCTGCACCCTGCACGCGGGCTCGGCCAGCCGACTACGAAGGAGTGGGGTCAGTGGGGTGGCTTGTTACAGGAACGGCGTAGAGCGTAGACCGATTAGTCATTGTTGTGCTACTCGCGTTAGGTGAGTGGTTGTCGGTTATGTTGATTTTTTTGAGTTTACATTACGTTTTCAACAGAATATAAATATTTTTTGTTCACGAGTTATTTTATTTTTATTTTCTTTCATTTTATTTTTTCGACTTTCTTGTTATTATTTTTTCATACCAACTAACCCTTATCCACCTCCTTTTTCTTTCCCCATTTCCCCTGGAGAGAATGCTCTAACCTCGTGGTTCTTGCTGGACAATTTAATTTTTTGGTTATGTGTACAGGGTGATTCACCATAAATGTCCCTCCCTCTAGCTCAATTATTTTTAAACCGATTTCAAAATTTGAAATATCATCTTGAATGATTTCTGATTGAGTTTTTTTCCGCTACATCAGAAAATACAGGGTGCTCAGAACAAACGATCTACAGGGTACCATCTGATTTTTTATATGGAACACCCTATTTTTCATTGTATTTTTAGATTCTCCCTGAAAAGCTGATTTGCTCAATGTATCACACTTGGGGTCTATCGGGAATGATTACAGAGATATAGGGTGTTCAAAATCGAGATTTTTCAACTTTAGGATTTTTTTGAGACGAAACTATTCATCATCGGTCAAAACGGCTTTCATGTCCATATCTCAACTTTTGATTTACAATCTACTGACATTTAATAATTGGAACAGATACAGGGTGATCAGAATTCTGAATCTTGAACCACCCTGTAAATGTTCCAATGAAATCTCAATAGACAGTTCAATCAGCTCTTCAGGAAGAATCTAAAAATACAATGAAATACAGGGTGTTCGATTTGGAAAAATCGAGTAGTACCCTGTAGATCATTTGTTCCGAGCACCCTGTATTTCCTGATGCAACGGGAAAAAAATTCTGAGAAATCATTTTAGATCATCCTTCAAATTTTTAAATCGGGTCAAAAATAAGTGAGCTAGAGGGAGAAAGGACAATTATGGTGAATCACCCTGTACATGCTTATTTGCCATCGAACTTCACTCAAGCCGCTGACCCACTTACGTTCGCATTTTAGAGCAATATCTATACCCTGGCCGACCCAGGTTCTGAGGGCACGAGCCGTCACTGAAATAAACTAACCTTGGCTTGCCAATAGATAATTAGACACTTTTCACCAATACATTAAAACTATTCATCCAAACATAAAATTCACAATGGAAATAGAAACAGAAAAGCCAAACAATTTCTTAGATTTGACAATGATTAAAATTAATGATAAACATGATTTTTCAATTTTCCATAAACATTCCCACAGTGATATCACTATTCATATTGATTCAACGCACCCTCATCAACATAATAAAATTGCAGCTAGTGAATGTCCCCCTTTCAGAAGTGAATTTCAATAGAGAACTTGATATCATAAAACAGATTGCAGTCAACAACGGATACAACGTTAATTTGGTAGACAGTATTCTTTCTAAAGAACTCCATAATAAAGCTATTCAAGAAGTTTATCCTACCATCAAAAATAATAATCAAAATTATAGAACTTTAACCTATTTCGGATCATCAACTGAAAAATTAGCTTCATTTCTACATAAACAGGACTTGAAAGTAGCACATAGAACAAATAACACGTTGGGAAGTTTTATCAAAAATAATTAAGACAAAACTTCTGAATTAAAAAAATCAGGGGTATACAAATCAACTATGGATCTTGGTATATATCGGTTAGACAGGTCGTGCGTTTAATCAGCGCATTCATGAACACACGATGCATTTTTTGAAAAAGAAAACAAATTCAACATACGCCAACTATATATCAGAAGAAAACCATAGTTTTGATGATAATTTCGAAATTCTACACGTAAAAAATAAAGGAATAAAACTCAATCATTTTGAATCATTAGAATCAACAAACTGAAAAATTCTAACATTTTACTTAACGATCAACTAGACCTCAATAGTTCACCACTGTTGAATTTGTTTTCTTAGTAGGTATGTATTTGCTTCAGCCCTTTCAAGTTGATCCGTTACACCCTATTTTAATGTAGATATTGTGCCTATTTTCTGGAAATTAAGGTTTATCGAACTTTTCCACAGGTAATTCTAATCCTTCAGGTTGGGAAAGTAGGATATATATAAATTTAGACAAGCCAAGGTTAGTATATTTTATTTTACCAGTGTTTCATCTGATGAAGCTACTGTGTTAGCGAAACATTTCGTGTGATTAAGAATTTTGTGGAAATCCATTATCTTTCCTATTTCTCCAGAAACACGATTTTATTGTATTACATGTTTTATTGAATTTGGTTGGCATTAAAAGCATGAATCTAGAAGGCTATAGTCTGGGAAAGTATTTCTTTGACTGGTCGTATGGAACTTGTGATCATAAATGGAAGCCTTACAACTGAAAGGTACAGTGGTGCTCAAATTAAAAGTAACGACTCTTGGTCGAATTGAAATATTTTTGTCTATGCACATGTACTATTCATTGCCTAGGAACGAACCGTTTCCCTCATTAGCATTTCATGACCTGGTTCGCGCTGTAAAGGTATTAGAGGGTATACCCAGCGGTATACCTAGAGGTGTTATAATAATAATTATTCTAACGTGAAAAATAACAATGACAGAGTTCTTCTTTGGCAACTACAATGAAATAAATAGGAATTTATCTGGACTGCTTCACTTTGATTCAGTTTTGTTGAGAACGATATAATATAATTAATTATAACTAGAATCCAATCTTGGAATGAAGGGATTTAATTTCAAACTATACAGGGTGTTTTTCAATTTATGGCTAAAAATAATTCTCATTTTGAGAAGAAAAGTTGATATGAAGATATGCCCTAAACCTCTCAACTTCCGAGCTATAGGGTGTTGGATTTTTTATGAAAATAAGCATTTTCTTATGATAACTCCGACATACTATTCTAGATATTCTCATGAAATTTGACATGCACCAACTGAAACAATGTGGTGTAGTTTGTAGGTAAGATGTGTTTTTGTCTAATTTTTATTGAAGTGAAGTCGTTGATTGAATTTGCCAAAATGGTTTCATCATTTTCAAATATGTAACTCAAATTATTGCAAAAGGAATGAGAATTGCATTTATTTTTTAGAAAAATCTCCAGTATTTACATCCCATACGGACACGAACTGGCCATCAGTGCTTAGTAGGTGCATGTCAAATTTTATGAGAATATCTAGAACAGTATCAAAGTTACTATAAGAAATTTTTTTTCTTAAAATTTCAACACCCTATTGCTTCAAAAATAAGA